AATCTTTGATCCATGATCATGCATGAGTAGAATGGATTTTGTTCCTCCTCCTCATATGTAAGGCACCAATCTTACTTCTTTTTATTCCAAGGCACTCTGGCTGTTAACTCTTCCATTTTATCATCTGCCACTCAATTCTCAATTCTATGGAATCTAGCTTCCAAACCCACCATTTAACTGAAACCACTCTCATTTACTTGTCCTGTGTAGCTGTTGATACTTTTGACCAACTCTTCCTCTTGGATAATCTTTCCTTTGGGTTCCATGACACTTCTCTCTTCTCATTCTAAATATGTCCAAAACAGAACTCATTATCTTCCTCCCTCAACCTGCTCATCCTCTAAACTTCGGTATTTCTGTAAAGGAGACCATTATACAGTGGAAAGATTGCTATCTAGAGAGTGAAAGGTTGTTGTTATTATCCAGTCATTTAGTCACATCCCACTCTTCATGACCCTGTGGACCATAGCACGCCAATATGGTCCAAGGGGTTTTCTTGGCAAAGATACTGACGTGTTTTGCCATCTCCTTCTCCTGCTTATTTTACAGATGAAGAATTGAGGCAAACAGGGTTAAGTGACTTGCCTAGGGTCACACAACTAGTAAGTTTCCGAAGCCAGATCTAGACTCATGAAGATAAGATTTCCTGACTCCAGGCCCAGTGGTCTACTCACTGCACCACCTAGCTGCCCCAGACTCAGAGGACCTGAGTTTAAATCTTACATTTTGTGTTTCCTTGGGCAAGTGGCTTTAACTTTCCTGGATCTATTTTTCCTCATATGTAAAATGAGGAATTTGAACTAGATGGCCTCTGAGATCACTTCTTACCTTAGATCTATGACCCTATGGTCAGTCATCTTTCCAGTCACCCAGGTTCACAATCTCAGAATCATCCTCTATCCTTTCCTTTCCTTCATAGACTATATTTAATCAGTTGCTAAGTCTTGTTGGTTCTCTTACATCTGTCATCTTTTCTCTACTTCTCTGGTCACCTTCACAGTTCTACACCCTGTTGCTTCTCATGTGGACTATTGTAAAAATCTGTCTGGCTAACTCAGTTCCTATTTTTCCTTTCCCCAATTTAATCTTCCAAATAGCTGCCAAAATAATCTTCATAAAGTACAAGGATGAACCTGTAATTTCTTTGCTCAAGAACCTTTAGTTATTCTCTATTGCCTCTAAGATAAAATGCTTACCTTGGCATTTTAAACCCTTTAAAATCTGGTTCCAGGCTTTCTTTCCAGTTATTTCAAACTACTCCCCTTTATACTTTCTATGTTCCAGCTAAAATGGGCAAACTCAGAATTCCATTTTCCTGTTTCTGCACCTTTGTACTCACTGTCTTTTATGTCTGAAATATGCTCCCTCCTCCTTTTTATACCTCAGAATCTTTTAAGGCTGAATGCAGGTGCTGTGTCCACATAAAGCCATTCCTATTGCTAGCTGTGTTATCCCTTTCCTAAAATAATTTTGTATTTATTTATCTGCATCCAATAATGTGCTCGCACAGTGTGTGTGTGTGTGTGTGTGTGTGTGTGTGTGTGTGTGTGTAAAGTAGGTGGCACAGTAGATAAAGCACTGGGCCTGGAGTCAGGAAGACTTGAGTTCCAATCCAGCCTCAGACTCTTACTAGTTGTGTGAATGACCCTGGGCAAGTCACTTAACCCTGTTTGCCTCAGTTTCCTCATCTGTAAAATGAGCTAGAGAAGGAAATGGCAAGCCACTCCACTATCTTTGCCAAGAAAACCCCAAATGGAGTCATGAAAAGTTGGACACAACTGAACAACAATTATAATACTGAATTGTTAAATTGGGGGAGGGGGACAGCTAGGTGAAGCAGTAGATAAGAGTGCTGGGACTGGAGTCAGGAAGATTCATCTTTCTGAGTTCAAATCTGGCCTCAGACACTTACTAGCTGTGTGATGCTGGGCAAGTCATTTAACCCTGTCTGCCTCAGATTCCTCATCTATAAAATGAGCTGGAGAAGGAAAACAGCAAACCACTTCAGTATCTTTGCCAAGAAAACCTCAAATGGGGTCACACAGAGTTAAACAGGACTGAAACAACTGAACAGCAACAATATAAAAGCTCCTTGAAAGAAGAATTATTTTGCATTTTTGCCTTTATATGCCCTACACTGAGCACACTGCCTTGCACATTGTAGGTGCTTAATAAAAACTTACTGCATTGAATTAACTATCACCCAATTTTAAACTTAAAGACTGCATCAAAGGTAAAAAGAGAATATGTTGCATGTTAGAAATAAATGTGTATTTACCACAACAGCTCTGTGAGGTGGTAATGCAAATCCTATCCTCATTTGTGAATAGAGACAGAGCCAATGAGTAGAGTATGCAGAGGCAGCGTCTTGCAGAGGGCAGACCTGAAACTACTATGTTTGTCTCCTGACTCCAAGGCCAAGTGTCTATATGACACTCTTAACACTCCTGTCTTTCCTCCCTTTCTCCACTCCCCCTCCCCCTCCCCCGCCCAGCCAAAAAAGTCTTTAGAAGTTGCTGGGCCAGATCAGAGAGTCACCAAGGAAGGGGTAAAACACAGCCTTCCCACTCCCAGGTAAGAAAATTCCACCCCAGCCATAGATTTCTCCTGCAGGGCCAAGTAAATTTTCTGCTCACTATTTTGCCAAACCTAGATTTTCACCATCCTAAATCTCCCTTGCCAATATGCTAGAGGAACTGTACAATTATTGAAAGAGTGGATTGCATTTGTAGGGGCTTTACAAATATTATCTCATTTGATCCTCACAATAACCCTGTGAGGTAGGTAATATTATGATCCCTATTTTACCATTAAAGAAACTGAGGCAGCCAATTTTTTTTTTTTTAAGGGACTGGTGCAGGTTCACTCAGCATGTAAGTGTTTAAGGCAAAATTTGAACTCAGGTTTTCCTGATTCCAGGCCCAGTGCTATAAAGATGATGATGATGATGATGATGATGATGATGGCAATGATGACTAACATTTATATAGCACTTACTGTGTGCCAGGTACTGTGCTAAGCACTTTGCCATTATTGTTTCATTTGATCCTCACAACCACCTTGGGAGGTAGGCTCTATTATTATCCCCATTTTACAGAAACTGAGGCAGTCAGAAGTTAAGTGACCTTCATGGGGCAAACAGTTATTAAGTATTTGAGGTCATATTTTAAGGCAGGTCTTCCTGAATTCGGGTCCAGCACTCTATCCAATGTACCACCAAGTTTCCTTTAGGCTCTTAAAATGAAGACACTTAAATTTTATTACTTTGGGTGAGTCATTTTCATCTCTTTGGCTTTCAGTTTATTCATCCGTTAAGTTTATTTCTAAGGTTTCTTCCAGGGGGGTGAGGGGGTGGGGAATGGGGAGACATTCAGGCAGGTCTATAGGGGACCGGGCGCCCTCTCCCGGCCTTGTAGAGTCATATCCAGATGGGTTAATCCCACCACACCCACCACTACCTTCCCCATCTGCGAGAAGAGCTGGCCAGGTCCCCCGCTTCTGCCATCCTAGCAAACACTGCCGCTGCGTGTGCCTACCCAGACTCACAGTTGTCCGGGGCTGAGCTACAGGCTCTCTCTGCAGCGAAGCTCACCTCCATACTCGTGCAGTCTGGAGACAAGACATCTGGAGAGGAGAGGTGGGGAACGGGCGTCGGAGGTGAGCTGGGAGAGAGTACCAGCTGGACGGGGCGGGGTCTCGGCAGCCTCCTCCTACAGAGGGACTAGGGGGATTTGCAGTCCGCGGGTCTCCACCTGTTGCATTTCAGTGCGCGCCGGCAGAGGCGGAGTTGCGGAGCGCGGAAGGTGGAACCCGCTGCTCGGTAACTGAACTAGGAGGGTGCTTAGACGCTGGAGGTGGGGAGTGGAAGCAGGCTGGGGGGGAGTCCGGGACGGGGCGGCCTCAGCAAGGAGAAAGAACCGCAGCTCAGCTGCTGCTTCCAGCAGCCTGGAGAGCGTCCAGGCTCTAGGCAAAGAAGCACCAAGCACAGGGGTAGGTGAGAACGAAGCAGGGGCACTGCACTCTCATGGAGAGGGTGGGAGGAGGCAGGCGCTGTAGAAGACCCTTCCCTAGTCTTCCTTGGGGCAGGAAAAAGGAGATAAAGCAATACTGCAGAAAAACTTAAAACCAGCGCAACCCACGATAAAACAGGAGGGTCCGGGGTTCGCCCTGGTTCTCTCTCAGGGACCCTCCCCCGGGGATTGATCTGTGATTTGGTCGCTCGGGATGTGTTGGCGATCCCGTTAGAGAGCTCCCGGGGAGTGGGAGGAGGTAACACGAGGATGGGGGTCGCGACCTTTTGAGTGGGTACTTGGAATGGGGGAGAACGCAGTATATGAGCTTGTCTCCCGTAGGCTTTTCATAAGCACCCTTCCTCTCCCCTTTCCTTTTTTTCTTTTCTCTTCTCCCTCCCTCCCCCCCACACCTCCCTGCCAGCTCATTTGGCTTCTGGGTATTGGTGATGTCTCTCAGCGGTTCGAGAGATGAAAATATTTTCTAGTTCCAGACCTCCTCTAAATTACCAGTTTTTCTGCCTTTTGTTTTGTTTTGTTTTGTTTTGTTTTTGTTCTCAGTGGCGGATCACCAAGCACTAAACTCGGATTTATTTTTTTTTCCTCCCCTGCCCTCCACCTTCGGTGACCTCAGCAGCAGACCTTCGAAAGTTTGTGTTCCATGGAAGAGAGATTTGGACACTGGAAATACTGGAGTATTTCTACTGAACAAGAGACTCCAAAAATAGAAGAATGTGAGATTTGAGCAAGAAAAAAGTCAACTGAGATTTTGTGGTGCTGAAAGAATTGGTGAATCCCAATGTAGGATTCTGTGCAAGGGGCATCAGAACCTGGGTTCATAAGCGCTTAGATCTGGAAAGGACTTTAGAGCCCAGTCCAAACAATTATTTTACAGAAGATACTGCTGGGTAGGAATTTCAAGTCTGGAAGGAAAAAAAGAGCCTAAACTTAAGCCTGTAGAGGATAAGACTTTGGGAGATTTGAGACGGTTGAGGTTTTCCTTTAGCCACGTGGAAACAAGAACCTCCTCCCTACTCCTTGTCACTAAGAGCCAAAAATATTGAGAACACTGGAACTGGGGAGGAGAGAGAAGAAGGATTTGAAACTGAGCAGCAAGGAACAAGCTGGCTTGGGGAAGAGGCAATAACCAAGAACTGCAACACTGTTCGTCTTTGAAAGACATCTGGTGGGGAAAGAACCCTGGAGGGGACTACTGACTTTCCTCCTAACGTACAAAGGCACCCTAAAACTGTCCAGATAAGGCTTTAGCATACCACTGGTCTGAAGAGAAAAACAAACAAACATTTCTTGGAAAGTGACTATCATGGGCAGAGCCAGGAATCCCAGTTCTGACTGACATCAGTGTAAGGCATCCTACCATACTCTCACAATATAAAAACAAATCCTTTTTCACCATTGAGCTGCCCACCCTTTCCATCACAGTAATCTTCCTCCCCACTCCCTTCCTGTCACCACAGTGGGTTGGAGAGGACCAAATTGGGCAAAATTTCCTTAGGGACCTTGCCAGCCATGGCATGTCAGGGCTGCTGCTGCTGCTGGAGTGCTGGGCACCTCAACCAAGACAATGCCAGATTCTTGCTACTGGCTGCCTTGATTGTCCTATATATGTTGTGTGGTGCAGCTGTCTTCTCAGCAATTGAGAGAGCTCAAGAGTGTAGGGCAAAGGAGCAGTGGGGGGAGAAGTTACTAAACTTTAGCCTGACTCACAATCTGAGCCTTGATGAGCTTCGAGGTTTTCTCCGGGATTATGAGGAGGCCACAGCTGCTGGAATCCGAATTGGTGATAGCCGGCCCCGGTGGGACTTTACTGGTGCTTTCTATTTTGTAGGCACTGTGGTGTCCACCATAGGTAAGTGAATTCTTGAAGGGAGCAGGTAGAGAATGGTGTAGCCATGGAGGAAGTGGAGGAGACCAGACAGCCTGCAGGCAGGCCAAACGAATGGGGTAACTCGATATTTACCTTATTGTGTTCATTCATTCGTTAGCTAATAGACATGTATTCAGCACTTTGTGTCCAGAATTATGCTAGTCCCTAGAGGTTCAGAGAAGAAGAATAAGATTATTTTCAGGGGCGTATGCAAGAAGAGAGATGACTTAGAGAGACATTATCTCTTTTGATCATCCCAGTAGTCCTAGGAGGTAGACAAATATGGTAGTACTCTGATATAATGAAAAGAGCGCTGGACTAGAAGCCAGAACACCTGGGTTTGAGTCCAGTGTGACCATTTGCCTGCTGTGTGGGCTTAGTCAAGTCAATTCACTTCTCTGAGCCTCAGTTTCCTCTTCTTTAAAATGGGGGCAAGGTAATACTTGCATTCAGTATCCCAACAGGGCTAAGTTGTGAAGATCAAATGATGTAACATATGTGTATATATGTTATACGCACACACATCTACCGGTACTTAAGGAGTATATAAATGTGTGTTGTAATTATTGTTGTTATTAATAAGAGAATCATTCAGGCTTGCCTCCTGCTCCTGGGATTTACAGAAGCCCTTCTTGTCCCTGGCTTTGTTGTATGTCACTTGAGGAATGTGATACCATTCTCAAGAATGTTTTTTTTTTTTAATGTAGTGGAAATCCTTTATGCTGCTGGAATGTGGAGACAGAATTAATGTCTATATTATACACTAGGTGTTATAAGCAGGTTTTGTAGTAGAATGGGGCATTGTGGCTGAAAGGTATGTTGGCCTATTGGAGCAAATGTAGAAGAAGACAACCAGGTTGGTGAGGGGGGGTTGGCAGCCATGTCATAGGAAAACTGTCTGAAGGAACTGAGAATTTAGCCTGGAGAAGAGAAAAATTAGTGGTGAGGAAAGGAAAACATACAACCAAGATCTTTGAATGACTGAAGGCTGTCCTGCTTGAAGAGGGCTTAAGCTTGTCTCTTGACCCCAGAGGGTAGGGCTAGAAGCAATGGGCAGAAATAAAAAAGGGCAAATTTCAGCACCAGACCTTTTTAACACTTGGAGCTGTCCACCAAACTGAAATAAGATGTCTTAGGAGATAATGAAAGCTAGCATTTACAAAGCACTCCAAGGCAAGCAAAGGGCTTTACTATCTCATTTAATCCTTACAACAGTCTTGGAAGGAAGGTGCTATTATTATCATCCCCATTTTCCAGATGAGGAAACTGAGGCAGACATAGCTTAAGTGACTTGCCCAGGGTCACACAGCTGACATGTGAATGAGGCCAGATTTGAACTCAGACCTTCTTGATTTTAGCTCTGTTGTTCCATTGCTGAAAGTCTTCAAGTAGAGAAGGGAGGGTTGAGGATAGACATTATAGAGGAGTTTCCTCCTTAGTTTGAGGTTGGACTAAATAACTCCTAAGGTCCCTTCCAGTTCTGGTATTCTCTATTTTAGTGGATACGAATGCATCTTGAGTAGATTGGGGCTCTACAATATGCATTTTAGAGCACTCATTTGGGGTGGGGGAGAGGGAGGGGAAGTTGTACAGATCTTACTAATATTCAACTCCAAAAACAGTGGGAATAACCAGTTTATAGTATTAAAAAAACATTAATTCCTTGAAGTAATAATTATCATATTCACGTCAGCAGTACATGGTCTGAAGGCTGGAGAATGTGGTTGAGTACACAGATTAATTGGGTAGAGGGGGCAGAGAGGAAACAGGTAGGAAGAAGTTTCAAGTCCATTCAAGGTGCCATTTGAAGGGTTGTCTGCCTTGTATGTTGTCTATCTTGAAAGACTTCTAGGAGGAGATGTAGCATAACTTCTGGGAACCCTGGCATTGTTATCCACTGGTACCCAATTCAATGAATATTAATTAAACAGTGACCAAATTGTGTCCGGGTCCTAACTCCCTGATATTTTTACAACACAGTTTCATCACTTGGCCATGATATCCCTTTTCTCTCTTACCTTTAACCCCAGGCTTGGCACCACCCTCCCCTGCTCCATGATTTAGCATTTGAGCTAGGAAGCGGCTCCAGCTTTCAGGGAATGAGATCCAAACGTCCAACCCAGAAGCTGTTATTGCAGAGGGCTGCCCAGTAACCTCATCTTCAGCTTAGCCAGCTGGGAAGGGAGTGTTTTGCATTTGGTCAATATCCTTCTCACCTCCTAACTCTATCTCCTCCCTTGTGAGTTTTTCTAGGTGACAGTTTTAAAGGTTTCAAGCCAAATGTTTCTTTCTTGAATATGTAAGGCACTTTGCAAACCACAAAGTGCCATAAATGCCAGCTGCCACCACCATCAATCATCATCATCATCATTATTCAGCTAAACTTTGTTTTCTACCTTATATAATCAATAGATTTCCCTTGAATCATGTGTATACCCCTGACGCTTGCAAATGCTGATTCATGCACTTTGCTGTATTCGTTTATTCCATAGAGGACTAACCTTGTGGTAGTCAAGTGAGCGTATGTTTTCATTCAATGCTTACTCTGTGACACATTTTCCTGCGAACATTTATCCTTTCACAAGTAATATTTTAACTCTTTCAACACATATCCTGTCCTGTTACTCCTCATTTTTTTCCCTGAGGGCAGCCTCCTATAATTTTGATTATCAAGATCATATCTTGCTTATGTTTGTACCCCTCATAATGGCCTCTACCTGTGATGTTATGGTAAAAGGACTGATCTCAGAGTCAGCAAGACCTGATTCAAGTCCCATCATTGGCATATGCTGGCTGTGTGACCCTGGGCAAGTCACTTAACTTCTCAGTGTCCCATACAATTCTTTAAGATTACATTATAGACCAGGCGCATTGGTAGAAGAAGTATCCTCATTGAAAGTTCTCTGTATGGATGAAATCACAAATATGGTTTTGTTTTTTTTTAAAGGTGTGTTGAGTTTGTTTTGTGTAGCCAGCTTATGGAACTGTGCATTAAGGCAGCAAGGTACAGTGAAAAGAGTTTTCATTGCAGAGCTAGAAGACCTGGGTTTGAGTCTTGGCTTTAACAATTGCTATGTTATCCTGTGCATGTTAAACTCTCTGAGCCTCAGTTTCTTCATCACTAAAATGAACAACAATAATCTCTACACTCCTTGGTGAATATGGGCAGGAAAGCCCTTTGTAAACCTTAACTTACTGTATAGGGCTGTGTGACCCTGAGATCTAATTTGCTTATGTGTCCTTGTCCCATTGTAATGGAAGGGGGAAGTGTATAGGAAAAGGAGTTGGATCCTGTTGGTAGCACTGCCCCCTCTTAAGATATGAATGGGACAATGACAGGAGCAAATGATGGACTCCACAATCGCAAAGTTGCTTGTGAATTACACTACCTCACACCTCCCAGTAGAGGGCTCAGCAGGGACACTCCCATTAGCTAAGCCCTAGAGTTAGCAAGGCTGAGAGAATAACACAGACCTAAAGAGACTATTACTCAAAAGACTTAATATCAAGGATTATAGAACAGAATAGAAGATGCTTAGGCTGAACCTGACTTAGAATTCTGTCGCAGACACTTACTAATTGCATGACTGTGGGCAAGTCACTTAATCTTTCAGTCTTAATTTGCTCATCTATAAAATGGGAATAAGGCAGCTAGGTGGCTCAGTGGGCCTAAAGTCAGGAAGACCTGAGTTTAAATCCAGCTTCACACACTTACTAGCTGTATGACCCTGGGCAAGTCACTTAACCCTGTTTGCCTCAGTTTCCTCATCTGTAAGATGAGCTGGAGAAGGAAATAGCAAATCACTCCTGTATCTTTGCCAAGAAAACCCCGGCTGGGATCTTGAAGAGTCAGACATGAACAAAATGACTGAACCACATCAAAAATTATCAGATAATGTTTCCTTATGCTGAGCTGAAATCTGTCTTCGTGGGTTCTAGTTTTACCCTCTGGAACCAAGTAAAACAAGTCATTCCATGTCTACACCATGGCCCTTTCAAATATTTGAAGACAGTAGTAATGTCCCCCCTAAATCTTTCGTTAGATGGTGTGATATAGTAGAAAGTGCATTGGACTTAGCGTCAGAAGACATAGTTGTACTTAGTAAGACTTTGGGCAAATTATTTAACTTCCCTAAGGTTCTTCTTGCTCACAAGATTGTTATGAGCAAAGTGCTGTGTAAACCTCAATGTACTAAATAAGTGTGTGTTGTCATTGTTATTCTTATCACCAGTTCATTTAATCGAATCTCACGTGACGTTTCCAGTTCATTTTCTATTCCAGTGGCCCTTTTAGGGACACTCTCCCTCTTGTCAGTTTTAAGGACCTGTGATTTCATTGGGAAGGAGCTCCCCGCAAGGAAGCATGTGAACATCTTCTGTACTACTTCTAGTCTAAGAGAATTCCCCAGGGTCCCTGAGAAGGTAAGGGGACCCCTTGCCCAGGGTCCTTTAATCATCATGTTTCAGAGGTAGCACTTGAACCCTGATCTTTCTGACTGATTCATGTTCAGTATCTATTGCACCAACAAGTCTGTCTCTCAGCCTTCCTAAAATGTGACCTCGAACACTACATTCCCTTCCAGCTCGTAAATCTTATAATGAACGTAATACTCCAGGTCTGGTCTGACCTATGCAGAGTCTGATGGGGACCATCATCTCCTTCACTCTGAGTACCATTTTAATAGTAATAATAGTTTTTGTTTTCAATTGTGCCCAATTCTTCATGACCCTATTTGGGGTTTTCTTGGCAAAGATACTGGAGTGATTTGCCATTTCCTTCTCCAGCTCATTTTACAGATGAGAACATTGAGGCAAATAGTATTAAGTGACTTTCCTGGGGTTACACGGCTAATAAGTATCTGAGGTCAGATTTGAACTCATGAAGATGAGTCTTCCTTATTCCAAGCCCAATGCTCTATCCACTATGCCACCTAGTTGCACCTGGCTTCCCACTGAGGAAGCAAAGCCAGGTCTCTCACATG